GGCGAGAACGGATCCATCCTCTCGGTCTCTTCCGGTCGACGATCCGGGGAGAGAAACTCGTCCAAGTTTTTCGTGCCAAAAATCGACTCTCCGAAAGCCTTCTTCTCGCTAAACTTTCGCGATCGCGAGTCGATTCCGACGCGATCGAGATCCACGGATCGTACGAAATCTCGTCCCTTCCGGACGCGAAAGCCGGAGATTCGTTTCTCCTCGGCCGTGACGCAGGCGAAAGGTTCCGGAGTTACAGATGTTCTCTTTTCCTCCTCTTCTCTGGGGAATCTCAGGCATCAGATTTCGCAATCGACGCGGTGGCGGTCGCAAGGACGGACCGGAGGTCGTCCGTCGACCTCCGCATCGTCGAGAAGTTTCCGGAATCGCAGGTTCCAGGCCTCGGAACGATCGTTCGTCCTCCTCCCTCCACGGAGAGCGACGTCGCGTCGATCCCCCGTTTCCGAGCGGGAAGAACGCCGGGGTCCGCGGAAGTCGCACCCGCAAACCTGCCGGTTCTGGGATCCGGCCCGCGTTCCCACCGACGCGAGTCGCACGAAAACGCGATACCGAATCCTCCGCTTCCGGAGGTGCCTCTCCTCCCCTTCCGGAGGTGCCTCTCCTCCCCTTCCGGAGGTGCCTCTCCTCCCCTTCCGGAGGTGCCTCTCCTCCCCTTCCGGAGGTGCCTCTCCTCCGAGGTGGATGCATCCCTCCGACTTCCGGAAGGAACGCGACCCATCCGATCGCCCCGCGAAATGCCTGCTGGTCTCCGTTCTCGCGCTACGACCGGACGAGTTCCGATTCCTGCACCTTTCTTCGTGCCGATCGGGTCGAATGGAAACGGCAACCTCTGATCCTCACCCCATCTCCAAACACCCGTCGTACCGATCGAACGGCGCCGATTCGATAATCCATCGCGACTTCGTCGGGATCCGGGTAGGATTCCAGAGCGCACGACGACCGACGATACGAAACGAGATCGACCGATCGTCTCCTCGGCTCTTCCTCGCGAGATGCGCCGACGCGGACGGTACCGTCTTCTCTCGCGTGGGACGCGGACGCCACGGAGTCGCCGGAAACCCTTCGGCGCGGACGGAAACGTACCGTGGATGCGACTCGGACCCTGCTGGAAGCTCCGGCGTCTCCCCGGAGGCGAACGTCATCGTCGAAGAGTCTCGGTTTCCCCCATCGTCGTGCGTTACGAACCTCCGTTTGCCCTCCCCCGTCGAAGCCCTCCCCCCGTCGATCTCCGGAACTTCCGGGTGCTGTCGCCACCTCGTCCCTCGAAGACGTCGGAGAGAACGCTTCGCCCTCGCCCTCGTCCCCGCTTCCGACGGAGACTCTTGCTCCTTCTCGAGGGCCACCGACACCCCCCGCGCGAACCGCTCCCGGTTCGTCGCGGCCGGCCGACGACGACACCGTCCTCGTCGTCGGATCCGTCGCCCCACTCCCCTCACGAGATCCCGTCTTTCTCTTCGCACGCGTCCGACAAATGTTTTCCATTCCGACGACCTTCTGCACGATGCACGTCGCGATGCACGTCGCGCAGAAGGTCACGACTTCGTCGACTCGACTGCTCCCTTCTCGGTTCTTCACGGTCTCCATCTCTGGAACGATAACGTTACGGCACTCGACGCGACGATGCTTGCGATTTTACCGATATTCATCCAAGATAAACACCCAGAGAAATCGTTATTTTCTTTTCTCCTCGCACGACACGGCTCGCAGCAGATCGAAAGAAGAATCGGTTTGAAGCAGCCGATCGACGGACGAAGCACAAAATCCAAACGAACCTCTTCCCAAAGACTCGAACGAAGAATTCACCTCAGTGATTCTACGGAAGCCCGATTCCCACACGAGGAGTGGCTTTAAGCATTAAAAATTAAATGTTTTTTTTTTTTTTTATTTCATAACCGATCGGCCTTTGGTATATTTCCCCTAAAAAGTAGGCATTCACAACATACGGACTCACGCACGCGTATCACTTGCTAGAATTTCGTCCCCTTGGATTTTTTTTTCTCTTTTGTCGTGATTGGATGAAATGAATAGTACCTTAACTATCTCAAACAAATTTATTTAGTTTATTGTTTAAGATGCTATATTTCACACGTTTTCCTTGAAAATGATACATACCTGGAACTTCCGCCGGATTTTTCTTTTGACCAAACTTTAAATGAAGAAAACGAATTAAATAAATAACACTGCAAAACGATAAATAAATAAAATACGTATCCGAGTCCACCGGAGAAGGACATTCCTCTACAAAAAAAAACGGACTTCCTAAGTACGTTTTCACAGATACATTATTCACAAAATAAAAGTAGAAATGGTCTGACCCAAAGAATGTTCCGTCGATCGTGGCCTCAGCGCCCCCCACAGACATTACTCTCTGCATGCTTCTATAGACTGCTTCCATGGTGGCTATGGCATACTCCTGGAGAAACCTAATGACAAATCGATCGAGCGATGTTCTTGCCTTTTCCATTCTCGATGAACGAACGCGAAAAATGAATTATGTATCAAAAGAACGATTTGTGGCAATTCATCGAATGTTAACGGTCTTTAATCATCTCATGCGTATAAATATATATAAATGAGAAATTATGAAGCAATCACGCGGATGGCTTTTTTTTTGCATTTTCATCTCGAGAGGCTTTTTTCCGTTCGTCACCCTCTCCAAGATGACCCAGATGGCGTTCGGGATCTACGCGAACGCCTACGCCTACCTCGCTCAGAAGTTCGGCCTCCACTGCGAGACCCCGTGGGAGAACATCCACGTCTCCGCTCTCGCGCACCTAAACGACTTCCTGCTCTTCCACGACTCGTTCGTCGACGCGGGTCTCAGACGCAGCCACGGCAGAGCGAAGGTGGCAGCGGTCGAGGAAACAACTTCGGAGAGGAGGTCGCGGAGCGTCTCGAGATCGACCGACGCGACCGTCGCGATCCCACCGCAGCGGTCACCGAAGTCGGATCGCATCGCGCGGGATCCTTTCGATCTCCGTACCCTTCGTCTCGAAGCGACGCGATCGAAGGGATCCGGGGTCGAGTCGTCGCGTTTCGATCGGAGAACGCTCCAAAGGACCATTTTTCCTCGTCCGTTCGGCATCGTTTCGAAGGAGACGACGAGAAGCACGACGAGAACTCCTCTTGCTCTTATAGTGCACTTCGCGCGCTTTCTATGCTTTTCTTTATACTGTACATTCCGAACGAAGGAGCGCCCGACGGAGCCTTCCGAGTCACGAATCCGTTCCGTTCGTGACGGAACGTCGGAGCGGTCTTTCGTCTCCGATCGGCACATAACCTGTCGATTTTGCACGGAGAATCCCTCCGTGCCGAGTGCGAAGAGCAGCGCCACGTCACGGGTTCGGTGCGACTTTCACCAAGAAATAAAGGTCGATCTGGAGACCGGCAGGTGCAGCGAGCGATCCGGAGTCTTGCGTTCCCGACCCGAGCCGCTGGCCTTTACTACCGCGAAGGGAACTCGAGGTTCCGACCCGAAGACGGTCGCACCCTCGGTTTAAATCGCGATCGAGATACTCGAGGCGGAGTTTCGTGCCGTGGCGAAACGTTCGACGGAACGCGATCGAAATGGAGACCGTAAAAAGGCAAAAATAATCCCGCGGCGAGGTCTCGCAGAATGGGACTTAGCTCCTCGGGCCTCATTCGACTCCCTCGAATTTAAAGCAGGAACCGAGGGAAGGAAATACGAGGGGTAGCTCTGCATGGAAGGAGGTAGCTCAGTAGGGGAGGGTCGCTTGCCCACGCACCCGCACGTCTTCATACGCGCACGGCGGCTGCGGCTCCTCCCGAGATAAATCTTTCGGTAAAGCATCGACGATGACTCAATCCGGACCGGTCTCTCCTCTGCCTCGGGGAAGCCATCTAAACGAATCGGGTGTCGTCTGGACGAGCACGAACGAATCGGGCGACCCCGATCCGTTCCGTCATCGAACGATCGAATCTGCAACCTCACGACAACTTTTGCAGACTCACTCGGTGCTTCTGCTCCGATATGCTTCGAAGTCTTGCCCTGGATTCTTTGCGGCGGTACGTTCACCTCCTCTCGAGCCGGCACGGTTCCGTTTCCAACACGTCACGGTTCCGTGAGGTGATGCCCCGGCGGTGTCGTCATCCCGTCGAATCGATTCAAATTCGTAAGAAATGGTGCTTCTCAAAAGCTGGCATTCGTTGCTCGGGCATCCGAGTGTCATCGTCGGGTGAGCCACGTCCTCGAAGCTATTAACGATCGAAAAATAGATAAGGGAGACAAAAGTCCGCTAGTAAACGACAGAAACGAGTTCTCCCTTTGCATAGCCACGCGTACCATCCGACGAGACATTCACCGCACGTTTCCAAACTCGCATGGATGTCGTGCGATGCCGAACGACGAGCCGTCTCCCAACGTGACCGGTGCTCGTGAGTTGCATGCAAGCGACCTATGTCGTCTGCAGAGTAAAGAGAGCATGCTACCGATAGAGAATAAAGGGTGGGAATAACCACTAGCAACGATGGCAACATCTAACGATTTCCCTTGATTTTCTATCGATTAGCACCAACAACTCCCGCACGAAGGGAAGTTGCAGACAAGAGCTCCTAACCATAAGCTGCACGTTAATAACAGGATTTGAAGTGCCGTGCCATTTGGATACAAAGGGATAATTTGAGTAAAATTCCTAAAGGCTACCTGGATAACCCATATCCTCTTTTATAACCTCTGGATAATAGATATATTTTTCCCTCCTCCGTAAGAACATCAGCTAAATTATAGATCACCTCTTGGGGCTCGCTAAAAGCTACTTCCTCTCATCACCAACTCACATTAACTTGTTATAAACTCTTCATCGTCAAACATGAAACTCAGTGAGAGACACATCACTTTTTCTCCTCATACATATCATCTCTGGCTTACTAACAAGACAAGTTTAAGAAGAATCAGTCATTCCTTTCATCTGTGCCTCCTCATGAACAGATTCTCGTCGAGGTCCATCGATTCCGAGACATTGAAACAGACATCCAAATCAGTGACTGGATATATTCTCATAGAAAAACTGAGCAAGGAAAAAAAAATTAGAGGAATTAGATAAGCAAGATGGTATCACAAATGTCAATTAGGAAGGGAGAAGCAGGTGAATACGATGGCTTGAGCATGGATTACAATACATTGGGTGAGGAGCAGATCAAATTGGCACCAAACATGATAACTTGGTATGCAAAAAAACATGAGCCAACCAGGACACAAACGCATACGGTATCACAATGGGATTTGAGAACGGTTTTCCAACGGCCAGGGACACTACCTGATCATCTCTGCGTAGCGTTCCTTGTGCTTGGTCAGGATCTCCGTCACCGTCACCAGCTTCTTCAGAGCCGGCTTCAAAGAGCGAGAAAGAAATTTTAAGTTGCAAGAAAAGATAGTTCAAATTCACCAAATGAAGGCATGATAAGCTCCAGTACAGGATGTAACAGAAAAATGTACAAGACCCTCAACGCATTTCTTTGCTGGAAAAGCAAAATGCGAAATGCAAAATATACTCCAACAAATAAAACAAGTACAACAGTACTTGTGGCCTCCCACAAAGTCAGCCCATGTACTGAGCTCTCCATGAGTCGAATCTGCAGAACATCTCACAGCACGTACTGTTGGTCAAATATTAAGCTAACATGATATCTTATCCTCAGATGTCAGGCATAATGCCACCCAACATTAATGTCCAACTTCACCGTTTAAAACCAGATAAGTTTTAACATTAACCAGTCCTTACCTGGTTCTTGGCCATGGATTGAATATCAGGGAGGTGGGTGACACAGATATGATGGAGGGTTGCAAGGTCCCTGGCTGGATCACTCTTCACAGGAATGTCTTCTGATGGCGGCTTCTCCTTCACGTTCTGCTGCGAACACGTCATCGAAAAACTCCAGCATAAAAAATACTCACCGACTGCACATCGAACACCGGTGAGCCGCGGCAGAAAAATTCCCACCCACCGAGAGCTGATCGAGGAAGACGATCATGCGCTCCTTGTTCTTGAGGATGAACGGGTTCACCACCTCCATGTAAGGTTCCTTCCCGCCGAACTCTACCAAGTTGGCCAGGTTCTGTAGGCACTTGGCAATCATGATGAGGGATCGCGTCGCCTGCTGCGAGGGCGGTTCTGCAAACCCGACACGGCAAGGACGAGAACGAGAGATTCTTACGGATGTGGTCTTCCACTTCAGTGGCTGGCCTACTAGTAATGATTGCCCAGTGCAAAGTAGAATGTTCTCTGATGCATTGGTCCAAACGTGCCCTCAGGAGGAAAAACGTTCTACCACAATAAAGCATCATTGCTAATAGAAGAGCGCAGAAAGCAACCCGTTGAACGAAAGATTTAAATTGTCCCGCCAGCCTTCATGAAAATAAAAACTCATTTCATGTTATTGTTATGCATATTTCAGGTAAGCCCAAGCACATTGCAGTGCACTGCACTGACTCAGGATGTATTGTATCAACCAGAGGTGGAAAAAGTTCTCAGGGCTGGGCAGAGGCAAAAGCGGGGGGGGTTTGGCAAAAGATCAATTTTAAGCCACAAATAGGCATGAAAACGCTTATACCATGGGCGGGGGGTAGAAAAGTTTGTGGGCTTTATTTTTTATACTTAGAACGCTTGCACCTAAAATCTGCATCTTGCTATTATATGATTATGGCAAGCCTACATAACATTCCATAAATTTCGTAGATTGACAAACCCTTCCAGAGCGGAAGTAAACAATCATGGCCGAGGACCCTGCGAGAGAGCAGTGGATTGTGACAAATTTCCTTGTGGCTCAAAATATTTCGCAGCCGTTTGTGCGTGGATGCGGCCCTTTCACCTATAGCCACGAGGAATTTTATCACATTATCACAATCCGCTGCTTTCTCGCGGGGATTCAGCCATCTTTGTTCACTTCCGCTCTGGCAAGGTTTGCGAAATCGATGGATTGTCATATAGGCTAGCCATCTTCATAAAATAGCAAGATGCGGATTTTAGGCGCAAGCGTTCCATGTATAAAAAAGTACATTTCTAGCCGAGTGGGGATTGCACAGAGGGGCATAGCCCCCTGGGAAATTCTTGTCATTTATTAAAATCGAAGAAATGTCATTCGAAAGGGTATTCAAAGGTTTTTCTGCAGAGAAGCACTTCGATCGCTTTTTCATTTCTGTACTGGAATATTCATTTTATCGAATTCATACTCGAATTCCGTCTTCTCGGGCGGCGAACGACCTCCGAAACGGCACGTAACTTCAACGTGTCATGCTTCTTCACAAGAAATGCGAACTGGAGATGAAGACGGAATGGAAGCCGAAGCAGGGGCGGATACAGAAATTGTTCAAATTTTTCATGGGGGGGGCGGTTCCCAAATTTCTACCTACCCCCCCCTACCACCATTCCTCGTCCTTTCACCTTTTTTATTTTTCGTCTGGGGAAGAACTTGAGTATCTATTTCATTGGCTCCAATAAAATTTAATGCAGATACTATTTTGAATTAATAAATCAAATGCCAACCTGGCGATAGGGGGGGGGGGGGGGGCGCCCCCCCCCCCCC